CATAGGCATCCTTCAGTCTCGAGAGACTATGGTAACATGCTCTGAATCGAGGAGTGTCCTCTCCAGAGCATGAAGCCCGGGTAAGGTAATATGGAGGATAGGCTGTTACCCAAGCAGCAGATCCCCCCTCTCCACATTGCTGAAATGATCCAATGGAAAGGCAAGAGCCAATACAACTGGTTCCAGCAATGTCGCAGGAGTTGGCAGAACGACACATGCTGCCTTCGGGACTCCAGCTCTGGATTTTGCCTCGAGGTTAACTCCTGAAGCCTTTTGCATGAGTGGATATAGCCATAAGGCAGTGCTCAAGGCAGCTACAAACGTTTTAGACTTAAAAACAGATAAAAGAGCATTTAGTCAGAAAGTAATAAAATAGTTATAAAACCATTAAAATTAATGAGAATGCATTAAAAACTATTAAATAAAAAAAATTTACTTTTATAATCTAAGCATTACCTCTTCTTTCTGTGCTAATAAGAGTTCACATTTTGGAAATGTGCCACGAGTTAAGTTCATTCAAAGCACAAGCCAGCGCCGCTTGACAACAATTTAGGACCTCCCCTGTTCTTGGGAGTGGTTTTATCTCTAGCCAGGCCTGTCCAAGACGAAGGTACCCCATCAGCCCCCCACACTCATTATGGGCTTTCTGCGTTTGATGCCTGCCTGCCTGGGCTTTCGGACAAAGAATTCCTACTAATGTATTCACGAAGGCTTTCACAGCGGGGGTCTAATGGTTGTTGTGGGTTTTTCGGGCTCTTTGGCCGTGTTCTGAAGGTTGTTCTTCCTGACGTTTCGCCAGTCTCTGTGGCCGGCATCTTCAGAGGACAGCAACCTGTGCTCTGGTGTAGTAGTCAAACTCTGGTGTAGTATGTGCTCTGGTGTAGTAGTCAAACTACTACCCCAGAGCACAGAGTGCTGTCCTCTGAAGATGCCGGCCACAGAGACTGGCGAAACGTCAGGAAGAACAACCTTCAGAACACGGCCAAAGAGCCCGAAAAACCCACAACAACCAATTCCTACTAAAGGTGTCCAGAAGGATTCTACCAAGGGTGGCCGAGTGAGATGCCTGCCTCAGTTGCTGGCTTTTCTCTGAAAATGAACGAGATGGAAGAAACGATGGGGAAAACACGGGAGGGGCTGTACCTTGCAGGAGGCACCGTCGAGACACCCTGAAGCGTGCATGAAGTACGAGGCAGGGCAGCGGGAATGTTGTCAGGCCCAGAGGAAAGAGACCATGCTCGGGACTGCTTCCCCCCCTCCACTCCCTCAAAAAACCAAAGCCCCCTCTCCCTCCTCCCCCCCCACCACCCGCTCACCTGGAGGGAGAAACAAGCTGCCTCTCACGGCTCCTTCCTTCAGCCGAATCTTGCGCACGTCCGGGCGGGTGAACCACCTTTCGACGCTCGTCTGGCCCAGCACGGGCCCGGGGATGGCGCCGGGCGGGCTGTAGCCCCGGTGCACCGACAGCTCCACCTTCAGCGGCGCCTTGACGCTCCGCGGCTCCAGCCTCTGGTAGGGCTTCTCCATGGCCGCCGGGGCGAGGCTCCAGAAGAGCCCCATCGGCTCCCGTCCCGCGTAGCCTCCTCCTCTCGAGGCCTCCCTGGAGAGGTCCACCTCGCCCGCCGCGTCCGCCCGGTAGTGGGCACAAGCCTCGAAGAGGCTGCCTTGCTCGCTCGCCGCCAGCGCCCGGAGGGTCACCTCCTGCCAGGGGCTGAGCCCCGACACCCGAATCCTAGCGGGTTGATCCGCTAAGCCTACCGCAGGGGTGACCGACACCGTCGCCGCCGCCCTTCCTCCGCTGCAGCGCCTGAGGGAAGGGCGACTCAGGAGGCGCGCCGGACCGAAGCCCCCGGGTCTCCCGGAGACCGCCCGCCACATGGTGGGGCTCCTCAGTCGCGTCCCTTCGAGGCGTGGTAGCCCTTTTAGCTCCCGTCCTGAAGCTGAAGCGAAGTAAGGACGACCAATCGAGTGCCTCTGCTTGGTGTGAAAGCGCAGACAAGACAACACGGATCGATCACGGAAAGCAGGATTCCTTACAGGCAGGGCAACGGCTTAAGATGGATGCTACCCTACTGTAATTCGAAGCCACCCCGAGGCGCCCGAAACTGGGCCCTTGCAGAGGCGCCGGGAAGTTCTCAAGAGCCCACTTCCTCGGATGCATGTCTCCTCTGACATTTGCGTCGCTTTTCGTAAAGTTATTTATTGTTCAGTTGTAGATTTCGGAGATTTTTCTCGTAGGCAACTTTGGTTTTTTTTCCCCCTTCCTGCAGACCCAGGACACTTGGCTGCTTGAGGGAATGACAAAATCTCCCTCCGCTTGGCATTCCAAGTGCATTTATTCCGTTTTATCTAGCAAATGTATGTCACCTCTGGATTGGCAGTCCCACTAGTAGCACACTAAAATTCTTAGAAAATTGACTTGTCCAGGAAAGCTCACATTAACATAGCAATTAGTCTTTAAGATATCACAATGGGTTTTTGTCTTTATTTTTATGTTGTTTTGTCTGTTTCATTAAACCTCTCTCCCTCCTAGCAGCCACCAAAGCACTGGTTGCTGTCCTGTAGAAGGAAAGTAACTTCCTTCAGAAAACGATGTCTGTCTTAAAAAGCACAGTTCCTACAACTGAAGCACTATTCAAAAACTGTGGAGAAAGAACAGAAAAAAACATGGGAGGGGGGCTTAGCAGAAGGGAAGCCAGGCACACAGTTTTAAACAGAACTGTTTTACAAGTAAGTTCAAGACTTTAAGCAGTGTTAAGAGGTAGTCTTTTCATTTATGTTAGACATGTTTTCAGACCTTTTGTTAAAAATCAAATGGAACAAAGGCATATATGTACAGCATTATAAGCCAGCTGGTGCAGACTTACATCATAGCTTCTCAGAAGAATTGAAAGGTATCACATCTGCTTTCTCCCCACGGAACATATCCAAGAAAGATGAGTATACTTGGACTGTGATCACATCAGGAAATAGATTGCGTTTTGGGTCCCTAGTGGAGTGGTCCAGTACAACCTGGAAACATGGATCAATGGGGAAGGGGGTCCACCCCTGGCCCTTGCCTGTCCTCCCACCAGGGTAGACTGGAGGGACGGGGTGGGAGGAAGTAGCCATTGTATATAAAAACATCCTGGAGGTTACTAGGCACTCTGTGGTGGTGAAGCCGGGTTTGGAGGCCCTCCACGTGTTGATAGGGGCCAGGGATGGTATTGGGATTTTGCTGGGTTACCGTGCTCCCCGCGACCCATGCACCTCCTTACCAGAGCTGGCGGACTTTGTCTCCGTGGCCCTGTTGGAATCCCCGAGGCTTTTGGTCTTGGGTGATTTCAACATGCATGCGGAGGCCAAGATATCTGGCCCAGCTTTAGAGTTCTTGGAAACCATGGCTTCCTTGAACATGTCCCAACATGTTAACGGCCCCAACCCTGTGGGTGTCCACACGCTAGACCTGGTTTTCTCCACCAATTGGAGTGAGCATGGTCTGATGGTGACTGACCTTGTGTCAGTTCCCTTGTCGTTGTCTGATCACCGCCTAATAAAATGTAACCTCTCAGTGGCTCTCCCACCCCGCAGGGAGCAGAGACCTATTTTAATGGTCCTCCCTCGAAGGCTACTGGATACTATAAGAGTCCAGGATACCATGAGAGGGATTCCGGCAAATCTGGCTGGCGCTTCTATCGAGGCTCTGGTTGATGGCTGGTTCACAGCCGCCACTAGGGCTGTTGACACGATCGCTCCTAAACACCCACTCCAATGCAGAGCTCGGCCTGCATCCTGGTTTAATCAGGAACTACGAGCGATGAAGCAAACTAGAAGGCTACAGTGCAAGTGGAGAAGGAAACCGAGAGAATTTAATAGGGAAGTTGTCAGGGTCACAACTAACCTTTACCTTGTCAAGATAAGGGCTGCTAGTCGAGCTCACCTCGCTGACCATATAAGTGAGGCTTCAAATCAGCAGGCGGAACTTTTCCATATAGTTCACAACCTATCCAGAATTGGTCTCAGCCACCTTTGGTACTGTCAACCATGGTATCCTCCCAAGGAGGCTCTCTGAGTTGAGAATTGGTGGCCTGGCACTTGCCTGGCTCCATTCCTTCTTGGAGGACCATCCTCAGAGAGTTCAGCTTGGGGAGGGAGACTCAGCCCTGTGGAGTCTCAGTTGTAGAGTTCCGCAGGACTCGACTCTCTCCCCAATGCTGTTTAATATCTATATGAGGCCTCTGCGAGAGGTCATCAGAGGATGTGGAGCATTGTGCCATCAGTATGCTGATGACACCCAGCTCTATATTTCCTTTTTTTCCAGCCACAGGGGATGTTGTTCTGTCCCTCCAGTGCTGTTTGGAGTCTGTACAGCAATGGATGCAGGAAAATGGGCTGAGGCTGAACCCAGACAAAGATAGAGGCCCTGAGGGTGGGTGCCCCCTCCATCAGCAGTTTGGGAAACTCCCTCTCTTTTGGGGGGGTGACTCTCACTGCGAAGAGTGAGGTTCACAGTTTGGGGATACATCTGGATCTGGTGCTCACCATGGAAACTCAGGTGGCGTCAGTGGTCCACTCCGCCTATTTCCATCTGTGGCGGATTGCCCAGCTGCGTCCCTATCTTGATGTTGGGGTGCTCACCACTTTGGTCCATGTGCTCATAATCTCAAGATTAGACCACTGCAATATGCTCTACATGGGGCTACCTTTGAGATTGATGCAGAAGCTACAAATGATGCAGAATGTGGCGACCAGACTTCCCAGTGGAGTGAGGAAATACCAACATATCACTCCCACTTTGGCCGCCTTGCATTGGTTGCCTGTTCACTGCCGCGTCTACTTCAAAGTTCTGATGATTACATACAAAGCCCTAAATGGTTTAGGACCTCGATACTTGGCGGAGCGCCTCCTCCCACCTAGATCTAACCGCACCACTCAATCTACTCAGGAGGGGCGATTGAGGGGCCTAATGCCGAGGGAGGTCTGGAAAAAAAAAACAAGACACTGGGCCTCCTTTGCAGTTGTCCCTTCTCTTTGAAACAAACTCCCCTCCGAGATCCATTTGGCTCCCTTGCTGGGCATCTTTAAAAACCAACTTAAGACCTGGTTATTCAGACAGGCCTTCCCTCCAGGCACTATGTAATTTATTTTTTCATCCCATCTTGAGTTATTGTTATCACTGTATATCTCCCTCACTCTGGCTGCCTTGCATTGGCTGCCCATTCCTTTCTGCATTGATTTCAAAGTGTTAATGATGACATATAAAGCCCTAAATGGTTTAGGACCTCGATATCTAGCGGAACGCCTCCTCCCACCTAGATCTACCTGAATCACTCATTCTAGCCAGGAAGGGTGGCTGAGGGGCCTAACACCAAGGGATGCCCGGAGAGAAAGAACAAGAAACTGGGCCTTCTCAGCAGTGGCCCCACGCCTTTGGAACAGTCTGCCTCCAGAGATCTGTCTGGCTCCCTCGATGGGTTTTTGAAGAGCAAACTTAAGACCTAGCTCTTTAGGCAGGCTTTCCCTCCTGTCATCATCACTTCAATATTTTTCCCATCTTGAGCTACATTACTACTGTCGTTTTTTATTTTATTATATTGTTTTTATTTTATCTATTGTTGTTAGCCGCCCAGAGTAGACTTCAGTCTAGATGGGCAGGAGATAGATAGATAGATAGATAGATAGATAGATAGATAGATAGATAGATAGATAGATAGATAGATAGATAGATAGATAGATAGATAGATAGATAGATAGATAGATAGATAGATAGATAGGGCCTTTCCTCCAGCCCCAGCTTTCCCTCTGGTGGGGGTGGTGCCACTCTTGGAGTCCGGGAGGCATTTCATCCCCGCGCCGGGCAGGGTTTGGGCCTGATGTCACGGGAAGCAAGGAGGGCTCCCCTTTGGAGCTGCCGAGTGCTGTCCAGCAGATGCAACTGCTGAGGCTTCTGCACAGTGGAGTGAGGCCTCACTTTGCCTCAGGGCAGTGGGCTCTTCTTATGCCTGCCGCCAGGATTGGGCCCCACTCCAGGAATCCCTGGGCAGAGTCTAAACATTGCTGTTGCTTGCCCTCTCCCACCGCCAACCGCCTTTTCCCCTGGGGCAGCTGGAGAATTCCATCTGAACCAAGGAAGCACCGGCACAATCCACTGGGGTGCAAGAAAGCTGATCCAGAGTTGCCTCCAGGATGCAATCCCTTTCGACAAATACCTCGCATGCTGGTGGCAAAATCCTTCCCAGGCACGCCATGAGTTTCACACCAGGCATCTGGACACCTTCTGGAGTTTTGATTTGGTTTAGTTTCAGGTCTTCCTTGTATGAGACAAAGTGCTCCACCTAAAAGATTTCAGTTTGTTGTTCAACTGAGCCGTACAGTTCATAGGTCTCGTTAAAGGTGGCAAAAATTCTGAAATTTAGCTTTGTCTCATTTTTTTATATCACAGACACCTGGCATTTTAACAGGGGTGTGTAAACTTTTTATATCCACTGTATGAGTTATATAATAGTATAGTGGTGCCCCGCATAGCGACGATAATCCATGCAGCAAAAATCGTCGCTATATGGATTCGTCGCTATGCGAAATTAAAAAGCCCATAGGAATGCATTGAAACCCCTTCAATTCGTTCCTATGGCCTTAAAACTTACCTTTTAAGCGAAGATCCTCCATACGGTGGCCATTTTAGGTGCTCGGTAAGCGAGAAATCCGTCCGTTTTACCCGGCAGCCATTTTGGAACTGGCGATCAGCTGGGGAAAAAGCTTACCGATCATCGCAAAGCGATTTCCCCCCATAGGAAACATAGTTATGCAATCGCAAAAGCGATTGCAAATTCCTCATCACTATGCAGATTCTTCGTTAAACGGGGCTCCCGTTATGCGAGGCACCACTGCATAAAAAACCCTAAAACCTCAGTATTCAGGTTTAATTGCACCGTTGGCATTTTGAAATAAATAAGTTGGTTTTGTGTTGCAGTTTGGGCACTTGGGCTCAAAAAGGTTCGTCATCACTGGATGAGACACTCCCATGCTGTGCCTCATCAGTGATAATATGAACTATAAAGATACGCTCATCAAAGCTATGGAAGGCACTGATACAATTGAACACATCACACAGTTTTGATACAAAATAGTGCAAAACATACTGTCACCAATATTTATTTATTTATTTGTTTGTTTGTTTGTTTGTTCGATTTATATCTTGCCCATCTGGTATATTCTACCACTCTGGGCGGCTTACAGAATATAAAAATAAAATAAAAAAAAAATAAAAAAAATAGCATACAATAACAAATAGTGCAGGAATAAATAAATAATAAATAGCAAAGCAAAGAAATCAGTAGTTGACAGGAGGGAAGGCCTGGGTGTACATCCATGTTTTCAGCTCGCATTTGTACTGTATATACATTCCTGAACAAAAAGGCAGAACTGAAAAGGCATTCAAAAAAGGCCACCTGTAATCAGTAAAAGTAAGAAAGTCATGTGGGCATCTGAGAAAACAAAGATACCATCTATGTAGGAAACAGTCTTTATACAGTAGTGGGACAAATGCCAGTGCAGAGCAGTCCTTTTTCTCATACAAGGAAGACTATCAACTTTGTGTAATTTTCACTATAGAGAATACTTCTACGGAACAAAAGGCTTAGGCACAATATTTAAGGAATATTTTAGGTGTATGTTTTACAAAGCAGAATGTCAAGGATTGACTGGTGCCTTCAATCAACTCCTGACATTCTGCCTTGCAAAACATATATGGCACCTAACTCCTATCTTTTAAAACACATCTCATAGTTAATACATTCAGAGCTTGTTCTTTCTTTTACCTGGTTCACCAATGAGATGTTTGTGGAAGAAGGCTTGGATCTGCTGCCAAGCATCTACCTGGGCTGCTGCATGAGCCCTGGGCTCCCCTCCCCACGTCACTGGCATGCCCACCAGAAGGTGCATTGAAGCTGGGCACATCGGCAAATATGGTGGTTCAATGTAATGTCCTGCTCCAGGATAGCAAATGATCTGAGGTTTTTCTCTTCCATGAGCCTGCAAATATTTGGAGGCTTCAGCAGCCAAAAATTCACTTTTCCAGTTATGATCATCCTTGCCCACAATGAAAAGAAAGTGTCCCTCTGCTTTCTCCAGGGGAATAAGGCTGGGGTGGCCCGGATGCTCAAATGGGTTGTCCAGGACATCAATGATGTCAGCAATCCCAGTCTTCTTGTCTATTTTTAGTCGTTTCACATCAGTGCCAAGAGGTGGAATAGCAATGTCTTTGTAGCGCAGTGTTGCAGCTACATTGGCTAAGGAGCCATTAATTGAGACTGTCACAGTGATACCCTTTAAAAAAGAAGCCATGGCAAAGCAAAGATCAACGGCTTTGGAATGTCCAAGCAGTCCAATCCCTGGACCCTTAACCTGAAAAGGAGCAAGGAAAGAGAGAGGAAAGGAAAAATCTGAGTTATATTGTAACAGGCACCCAGGAACATCTTGTATATGCGCCATAGCAATGAACTTTGTCACTCAGCTTTAGTTAGGTGAGAAATCTAAGAGGAAAAATATTTTTCAATTCTGGCCAATTGGCTTTTGTCATACTGCTTACCCAAGTCTTCCTTGCTTTCTCAATCTAGCATTCCTTCAAGTGCTAGAAATGAGAAGACATCTTTTAATGTAGTCTTCACTATTTTGTTATTTTTTTCTACTTCATTAACTTAGTACAAAGAATGGCATTCAGAATATCAGAGCAATACCAGCTACAATGTGACTATAATAGCTCACTCCTGAATCAACTATTTGAAACAGTCAAAATAAAAATATTACAGATTATATCTACTCCTTTTCTATCACAAGCCATTATGATTTCTGTTTTGTGGCTTACTTGGATAGGACATTTAAGGCACACCACTAACCTAACAAGGACATGGCAAAAACAACAACAACAACCCACTGAATACCAGGTGGGCATCATGTCCCTCTAATTCAAGAATATTCCTTCTTGAGAGTTGTTCTTCAAGTGTGGAAATTCCTCCTTTGTGAAATAATTGCCACAGTCTCCAGTAACATTCTCTGAAAGCACTACAACACATTCTGGATCCCACTGGCTTTAGTAACCACAGTGGACCCTTGACTTACAGAATTAATCCGTATTGGAACAGTGGCTGCAGGTCGAAAAGTCTGTAGGTCAAGGCTCCATTGACCTACAATACATTGAAAACCGATTAATCCGCAACCGGCTGTTTTTGTTCCATTTTGGTTTTTTTCCCAGTCTGTAGGTCGATTCTCCGGCTGCAAGTCGAACCTAAATTTTGTGGCCAGAGAAGTCTGTAACTCAAAAAGTCTGTAAGTGGAGCCGTCTGCAAGTCGAGGGTCCACTGTAAGATGAAGATGGTTTTATTCTGTGGTGCTTAATCTGAGGTCTATATCTGGGACAGTTTTAATAGCTTTGTAACAGATAAAAACATCATACACTTACAGACAACATAAGTGGGCACTTATATCTCAGAGGACCTCTCATAGACTATAAATGCCAACATGCTAGTGGAGAAGGCACAGAAGAGGCTGTATTTCCTGAGAATGCTCCGGAAGTTAAATTTATCTTGCCATTTACAGTGGTGCCTTGCTTAACGATTACCTCATTACGTGACGAAACTGCTTGACGATGAATTTTAAAATGATGTTCTAATAGGGAAAAATCGCTTACCAATGATCGGTTTCCTGCTTGGGGAACTGAGTTTTGCTAGACGATTTAAAAACAGCTGATTGGCGGCTCTAAAATGGCCGCCTGCTGTGCAAAATGGCTCCCCGCTGTGATTCAGGACAGATTCCTCACTTTACAGGCACCGAAAATGGCCGCCCCTATGGAGGATCTTCACTGGACGCTGAGGTATTTAGCCCATTGGAACGCATTGAGCTGGTTTTCAATGCATTTCAATGGGCTTTTTCATTTCACTTGACAAGGATTTCGATTAACAGCGATTTCAACGGAATGAATTATCCTCGTCAAGCGAGGCACCACTGTACTTCCGTCCTACTATCGTAGCACTATTGAGAGTGTCCTAAACTATGGCATTCTTGTATGGTTTGGGAGTAGCTCTGTAGCGGACAAAAAAGCTCTACAGAGAACCATTAAAATTGCCCAGAATATCATCGGGCTCCAGCTATCAACCCTGGATGACATCTTTACATCCCACTATCCGAGGAAGTCACACAACATCCTTAGAGACTTTTCCCATCCTGCTTACAACTTCTTTAAACTGTTGCTGTCTGGCAGAAGATACAGAACAATTAAGACTCGGACCACACATTTTCTGAATAGTTTTTATCCCAGAGCTATAATTGCACTTAATAATGAAATTAAAGACCACCAGTAGTGAACAGTTGGACAGTGTTACTTAGCCTGGGGTGTAGAGGTTTGCATTTTTAGTGGGGGGTGTTTGGGGATTTTTTTAATGTGTGTGCATGTGGATCTGGTCTCTGGGTAATTTAATTTCATTGTATGTGTATATTATGTATAGACTTATAATGACAATAACTTTATTTTTAAAAATTTAATTTTTAAAGTGAAATAAACATTATTGCTACATTTGCTTATTTCTAATATATTAATTTAAAGGCCTGAATCTCATTGGTATTTTAATAAAGATTGCGGCACTTGCTGCACCTAATTGCAACTAATCAATGAAGTTCTGAGACACAGCATGGTTGGGCTGTATGTGTGTGTGACCAGGCACATAGTCAAGATGTGACCCAGCACCTCATTAATTAGCCACAATTACCTATGGCAGGTTATGCAAATCTTATAGGAACACTAGTAGGATTCTGGCCAAAATACTGATTTATTGCTTCTCAGCTCACGAGGAACCCCAAAACAAGGCACACCTAGTGAAAGATTAAAGCATAAATAAATAAATAAATAAATAAAAATAAAATAAATATTGTTTAAAAACATTAAAATAAGAATTTAAAAAAAAGCAAATCCACCTCTCTAAAAGTTGGCTTTAGAACCACTTGTATAGACCAAAGGCCAGAGAAAAAATATATACTTTTGTTAGTCTACCAAAAATTCAAAAGGGCTGGAGTAAACCTGCCTTATTTTGGAACTGAGTTCTACAATCAAGGTATACCTGGACAGAAAGCATTGTTCTTATGTACTAATCCATCTAGCTCCCTATGGCAAGGTGACATGCAACAGGGCCTCTGCTCAAGATCTTAAAAGAACGGGCAGGCGCTTGTGACAGGAAGTGGACAAGAAAGTGAGCAGAACTGCCTAATCTTATACAGATGTAAGTCCTTTGAGCTTAAAAGAGCACACTTAAGTAATTACAGCCCTAGGATACCATCTGCCCTCTACATCCTTGATTAAAAACCCACACTGAATTCATGAAACTTGCCTCTCCAGCTGTCAAGTACAGCCAACTTAGAAAAAAGCACCTGTTATTTTTGTGAAAGCCATCCATACACGACCCTACCTTGGGATGTTTCAGCATATAATGTAGAGCTTCTTCAAAGTACTCCAGATGGAATTCCTTCATTTCCTTAGGAAGATCTTCATATTTGTAATAGGCCAATGCTAACATGGCAAAGCCGTAACCAGATAGCAGAGATGCTCGATATTCAGGGAGGCCTCCTCCAGTTCCATAAAGATCAATGATTCCAGGAAAAGGGCCATCACCTGTAAAAAATGTAAAGAAATTGTACTGTTTTTATTTAGAGGGCTTTAAAGTTGCCATTCAGAGCCTGTACGGTGCAATGAATAGAGGGCTGGACTAGGACTTAAGCAACTTGGGTTCAAATCCCCCCTCAGCTGTGGAAACTTACTGGGGAGGTGGCAATGGAAATATCTCACATACCCTGAAACCCCTGACTGGAGTCACTGTAAGCTGGATGAGACTTGATGGTACAAACAACAGAATCCATCATGTTGTGTAAAAGCATGTCATGACATGTGAGAAAATACTTAAGGATAACCAATTCTGGACCGACAGTAAAACAAAATGTGACTTGTCTGCTCATAGTATCTCCAAAGTAGAAAATAGAAGATTAAAAAATCATATCATAGGTGTCAGCTGCATTGTTGCTAACTAAACTATCTTAAGGGTACAAGCCTTGCCATACAGTTCAAAGAACATATGAAAATGTACAGTCTGTTCATCAGACACAGGGAGGCAAGTACTATAACTCAGATCCATGTATTCATTGCTTTCTGCCTGCAACTCAGAGTTGTCCTGTTTTTGTCCTCCATTGATGCTCAAAGGCTAATCTCTTGTTGGGGCCAGGGCCCCTCCATTGAGACAGCTCATCAAGGGGGCTTTGCAGAGCAAGAGAAAATGGTTGCCAGCTTTCATGATGAGGGTGTTAAAAATGGGACTTTCTGTGGCAGCGAAGCTACAAGGTGGCCTAGCCTCAAATCACAGCATTTTCCATGCATTTGAAGAAGCCGGCTCAGGCCCGTCAAAGGTCATACTGTACAAGATCCTTCAAGTCATGTAAAGCTTTCATGTATTTATTATTTGCAATATTCCAAAGCTGGGCCCAAGGTATGCGTGGATCTCATTTCCTCCATGTTATCTTCACAATAATCCCGTGAAGCAGGTCTGACTAAGGGAGGGTGCCTCACCTAGTGAGTTTCATAATCTGGTGGGAGCTAGAAGCCACATCTCCCAAGAGCTAGGCCCAAGGCGTTCCACTATTACAGTACACCACTCAGGATCGCACTGCTGGCTTATAACCAACCAACTAAACAACCGCCCACTCAGTCGCCCCTTCAGGAAATAGGCGAAAAGTGCCCGGCGGCCGGGCGAGAGACTGCAAGGATCCCAAAACACAGGAGCGGCGCCTGACTTTTCATAAAAACGCGGATTTCGGACGATGGAGCTGGAGCCCACCACTCACCGGGGGGCAGGAAAAGTGTGGCCCGGACTCTCCCCTCCCGGACCGGGATCCTCCTGACGCCCTCGGGCAGGAAGACCCGCTCGTGGACGCCCTTGGCCAGGAGCGAAGCAGATCGGGGATCGCCGTGACCGTCCAGCACTTCCACCTCCAGCAAGAAAGGGCGTTGCACGTCGCGCTTCACCAGGCGCCGGAAGGGCTTCCGCGGCGCCAGCGACCACAGCAGGCCCATCGGTTCGAGGCCGGAGAAGCTGCCGCCGCCGCTGCTCTCAAGCGCCGGCGAGCGGCTCAGGTCCAGGCGCCCCTCGTCGTCCGCCCGGTAGAAGGCCCGCGACTCGAAGACTTCCCCGGCCTCATCCTCCAGCGACGCTCGGAGGGTGACCGCCTGCTGGGGCCGCAGCGCCTCCACCGAGATGGCCAGGGGCTTGTCGAAGAGGCTCCGGAGGGGAGAAACGTGACCGCCTGCTGGGGCCGCAGCGCCTCCACCGAGATGGCCAGGGGCTTGTCGAAGAGGCTCCGGACAGCCGGGGAGAAACGGACGCGAGGTGGTGGTGCCATGCTGCCGGCGGAGAAGGCGACCCTCCGAGGCCTCGGCCCCGCGTGCCCCGCCAGGCTGGAGGCGGCGCTGCCAAGGAGAAGAGGCTTCGCTCGCCAGCCGCTGCCCAGCGCCGAGCCTAAGAGCCCGTGCGCAAAGAGGCCCATGACCGGTTGCTTGGTGGCCCGAGGCTCGGGACGAGGCGGCGGCGGCGGCCTTGGCTCCGCCTCTCTCCGTTCCCGGCCGGTTTAATGAGTAAGCAAAGGGGGCTGAGGAGAACCAGGGGCCGGAACGGACGGGCGAGGCCTGGTTGAGGTCGGGAATTTTCAGGGTCGGATCTGCTACAGACCGAATGAAGCAGAAGCCTTGGGGGTCCCCTTTTGTCCACATTGCTTCATTTTGGGTCTACTCTACTGTATGAGAAGGTTTCTTCTTTAAAAACAACAACGTTATTAATGATATAGAATATGGTCCAATACAAAATAATAGTCAAAATAAAAACATGACAGTCGTTACCCAGATCTTGTTGCTGGTCGTGAAGGGGCCTTCATAACAGTTCAGGCTTCACAGCCCCCAAATTTAGTTTGCCACCGGGCGTTTTCTGTGTCCTCAAGTCACAACTGACTTATGGAGACCCTATGAATGAGAGATCGCAAAAATGCCCTGTCCTCAACAAGCCCTCCTTTAGTGAGTCAATCCATCTTGTATTTGGCCCTCCACTTTTCCTGCTGCCTTCAACTGTTCCCAGCATTATTGTCTTTTCCAGAGAACCTTGGCTTCTCATGTGCCCAAAGCAGGACAGCCCTGGTTACAACATTTGTGTCTGCTGATGTAGTTTAGGCTTGATTTGATCTTGGACCCACTTGTTTGTCTTTCTGGAATGTCCAGTTTATCTGCAAAGCTCTCCTCCAGGGAATTGTTGCTGGATGGATTTGTACAGTAGTGTGATAGAGAAAAATGCATGCTGTACTTCCTAAAAACTACCAGTCTCAAGAAGTACAGGTTTTAGAGCTGTGAATTTTGTTTAATGATCAGAAGACCCACCACACATTAGGAAGGGAGCAGAGATGGAGTATGTTTGATTTAGTACTTTTGATAAGGAAGCAGGCAGGAGGGAGAACCAGAGATGGGGCAGTAGCTGCTCTAATGGATGAACCACATCTGCTTATGATAGTCAGGGAAATGGATAAAGCACCAGAATAATTAGGGGAATTTGATATCGGGGCAAGGGGAGCCCATGCTGCTGCTAAGATTTCAGAATTCAAGATATATGTGGGAAAATACCCAATTTATGTACATATTTCATCCTGCATATCTAGCTAGATGGGGAGTTAGTATATGAGATGGCAATGAAAAGGGGGAGAAAAATAAGACTTTAAAATTAATTGCTTGATTTATAAAATACTTTGTAAGAAACTAGTTATGTCAGTCCATTAGAATCAACACTCAAAACATCAATAAGATGCTAATAACAGAAGCCACATATCAGCAAACTTTGCAAATTGCTTTTCATTCATTCATTCTTTTTCTGCTTCACCTTTATTATTTAAAGGCACTGAACAATATAAAAGAACACACACACCCTTAGAATCCCTTCTTAGGCAGCAAATTACACTTTAAAAGCCTGTCTGCAGAAGGAGAGCAAGGAGCCTGCCAGCCTGATCTCCCATGGAAGGGGGTTACTGAGCCTGGGAGTAGCCAACAAAGAAGCCCACTCCCAAGCATGGTGGGACTGAAAGAAAAACCTTCCTCAAAGATCTTAAAACCTGGGGATAATGATATGGAGGTATATGGTTACTCAAATAGGGTGGTTGGCTATGTTTAAAATAGAAAAAAAGTTGGTATGTACTAGAGATATCAAGAAAAGATTCTGTTTGGTCTATAGTGTAATTTCAGAAATATGAAAAACAACATTTCAGAAATAAAATATAAACTCTTTCATGACTCATTTATATATCTATGTGATGGAATCACATGTGCATGGGAGTGGGGCTGTGTTAGAATTCTTGTGAGGCCTCTAAATTAGATGCAAGAGTTCTATATACACAAGAGGCGAAAATACACATGTAAAAATGCACAAAACACCTCCCATCAGCCAAGTAAATTATGTCAAGCCACAAGCATCCTTTGTTTAGATCAAGCCTGGCCATCATCCAATATGCTCCTTCTGAAATATTGGCTATTCCAGTTGACTGAACCAATCTAACCTCAAACTTTTGTTCCATCCCGTTTTTAGACACCCATCTAAGCCTCCCCCCTACAATACATATGCAAAGTTTTCCTCACAAGTGTTGTCTGAGATAACTTTTACCTCACAGAAAGCTTTAGCGCTAAAGATTAGTGAGCCACTGACTTCACAACTTTTTTCTCACTTTTCACTATTCCCTTTTAATTTTTCCTTTATTCCTCACAAAGAATATTCAGCTTTTGAGTTCAACTATCTTTTGGATTCCAAAATATATATTCTTGGATGTCAAAAAAAGAAATCCTTCCCAGCTCATGTCCTGATACTTTAGTATCCTACATCTGCCACCACTTTTTGTGTTATTCCAGCTGATGGAGGCACAGACCTTTCCACTACCGTATTTTTCACTCCATAAGACGCACCTCTCCATAAGACGCACCAAATTTTTAGGAGAAGAAAACAGGAAAAAATAAAATTTGGTGAGCCTTATGGAGATGTCCATCTTATGGAACACACCCTAGGACCCTTTGGAGGCTCACCCAGCCCCCCCGGGGGCCAGAGAGGGCAAAATTGCTACCTTCAGGGACTCTTCTGAAGCTTCCCAAGCCTTCCCACTTTTTTGGGGGTCTGTGCATCTTATAGAATGAAAAATATGGTAATTTTTGCACTAGCTGAGTCACTTGCTCCTTAGGCTGTCACAGGCACTACTCAGGTACCTTTTCATATCTTCTAAATATTCAATTCATTACAAAAGCGCAATTTTATGAATGTGGGATATTGTGTGTATGTATCCATTATTTAAAACACCAGGAAATGGGCTTATGCTGCTGCACAATTGTGTGTCCAGAGGAAAAAGGATGCCAAGCTTTTCATAGTGAAGGGCAGTCTGAATATTTTTACATGGAAGGAAGAATAAGAATGGAACATAATTGTCTTCTTAATAATTTGCTTTCAGTATACAGTGGTGCCTCGCTTGACGATGTTAATTCATTCCAGCGAAATCGCTGTAGAGCGAGAACATCGTCAAATGAAATTAAAAAAACCAATTGAAACGCATTGAAAACTGTTCAATGGGCTGAATACTTGCTCGTCCAGCGAAGATCCTCCATACGGTGGCCATTTTTGGTGCCTGTAAAGTGAGGAATCCGTCCTAGAAAACAGCGGGGGGCCATTTTATTCAGCCGGTGGTCATTTTGAAACCCGATGATCAGCTGTTTGCTGATAGTCGTAAAGCAAAAATTGGTTCACGAAGCAGGGAACCGATCATCGTTAAACAGAAAAAAACCATTTAAACTATTGTTTTGCGATTGCAAAAGCGATCGCAAGAACCTAATACAGCGATTTCCTCGTTAAGCAATGCACCACTGTATAGCTAACATGCATTCACTGACTGAAATCAAGTTCCTTAGTATAAGAAAATCTGTAAATTTAAACCTGTTTATAAAAGGCAAATAAAAAATCCCTGCAGTAATTTTGGGAGGTGTTCAAGCATGCACCATGCCAATGTATGTGCATGCCCCCAAAAATCACAGTGGCAGCAGTAACATAGTCTGTAGTAGTGGTTCCCAAACTTGGGTAACCTGGGCATTCTTGGACTGCAACTCTAAGAAACCCTAGCCAGCACAGCTAGTAGTGAAGGCTTCTGGGAGTTGCAGTCTAAAAACACCTGGGTTACCTTTGGTCTATAGCAGGGATCTCCAAACGTTTTAATGTGAAGGTCACATCATATATATTCCAAATTTTCAAGGGCCAAAGGAACACAGTGTGCTTGTGTGCACGGGCTGAAGGGAATGGACCTGAGCCTGTGACGTTCACCAGGCTGGATAAAGAGGCAAGGCAGGCAGTGGACCATAGTTTGGAGACCCCTGGTCTATAGGATACCTGTCAACGCGTGAATCTGCGAGGATCTAGCAGAGTGCTATTTCAGGTCCTGATGGCAAAAATAACTCACGCAGACACGTTCAGCTTCTTCCAACATGACACGTGTATTTACAGCATATACAGTAAACATATATATAGAGTGGCAGCACGACAGCATGGAATCATAAGTAGAAGACGAAGGGTACATCTTCTCTGTACATTTCAAATATATACACTCAAGCATCTGCCCTTGCCCAATCAGAGCAGAAGTTGCATCATCCAGGCACAACCTCTCTATAGTCACTGTGACTCAGCATTTTACACACCTGGATATCATGGCAGCTAATTAATGCATCTGTTCTGTTCAGGCCTGTAAATTTTTAATACTCTGACAATACCTTCTTCTGCTCACTGGCATTCACAAAGTCACACAAAGCAAGGGAAACTTTAAGAAGCTGACTCCTTTTCCTATTGGTTAACCATTTTTCACCCAAACACAAAGCAATTGTCAGGGTTGCTTTTCAACAGATTTAGAACAGGGAACTGGAAACGAAGCCCTATAAGGTAAGATTGAAAGAACTGGGCATGTTTAGCCTTGAGAAAAGAAGACTGAGGGGAGATATTAAAACACTTTTCAAATACTTGAAAGGTATTTAGAGGAGGTGCAGGAGCTGTTCTTGATCATCCCAGAGCACAGGACACGTAACAATGGACTCAAGCTACAGAAATCCAGATTTAGTCTGAATATCGGACAAAACGTCTTAACTGTTACAACAGTGTGACAATGAAACCAATTACCTCAGGAGGTGGTAAGCACTTACATGCTGGAGGCATTCAAGATAAAATTGGACAACCATCTGTCAGATCTGCTTTTACTTGGATTCCTGCATTGAGCAGGGGTTGGACTCAATGGCCTTACCACCTCAATGTTCTAGGATTCTATGAATGCTAGTGCTGATCCAATGCCTATTTTTCAAAATTAAAATGTTTTCTTCGGGCTGCCTCCATTTTTAGAATTGCCTTATAGAATGTCAACTCTCATGCATAGTCTTATTTGAGTGTATTTTCCTTTGTTAGTAGTCTGCATTCCCTGTTCTTACGGTAGTTCCATATAAAACAAATAATGAGGAGAGATCTGTTCAAATAATAAAACACGATTTTAATTTAGAGGCCAAAGGTTATAGATATGAAGAAAAAGGTGGAGCCTTGGGTATAAGCGTTAAAGGTTGAAATAACAGTAAAATCTAAATAGATTTCTTCAGCATTTAAAGTTCAAAATAATTATATTACAGATTTTCTGTTTTCCTTACACCCACACTATTATAGTCAGACTTCTCTTCAGAAACTGTACCACATTATTAACCTCTTTTCGAACTTTCTGATATCTCTTGACAGTCATATCTAAACTTTTCTGCTGTCTCTCTCTACACAGTAAAAACTTTTCTACTGCCTCTGTGTCAAACCTTAATTTAACTTTCATTAGACCACACTCTCCTAGCACTCCATCATGCCAGCCAATCACCATTTAGCTACTCAGCCACCAGTTAGTAGCCGCCTGGAGTGGTTGTATAGACCAGATGGGCGGGATATAAATCAATTTTCTTTATATTTGTTATTTTTATGTTGTAAGCTGCCTAGAGTGGTTGAAACGACCAGATAGGTGGGGTATCAATCAATCAATCAATCAATCAATCATTCTGCCGACATCCATCCACAATGCTGGCATTCAAATGTTATACACAAACATAAGTAATCCTGCATATCTTTAAAACATAATGGAATTCAAGTGGATGGAATTGCTGCATGCACACCTCAAGTGTCCTTTTAAGTCAAGTACGTTGGAGTGTCCATCAAACTCTCAAACACGATCTTTCTGTTATGGACTCTGCTGGACACTATTTCCAAAGAAACTTACCTGTGACAAGTTACTTTTCTTTATAGGCAATGAGGTGTAATAAAGTTTGAAGCTCCTTTATTGTTATATTGAGCAACTATGTCCAGTTACTGTTAAAGTTACATTTTAAGAGCATTTTAGGCATTTGCAGAAACATATTGATAGGATTTTCCAACTTGTTATGTGTGAAGGTTCGTTTGGTAAGGCTGTCTGT